TTTTTATTATTTTTATAAAATAGTTTATAATGTTATAAGATGTCTTTTGAGTTGAGTTGATAATAATTAAAATTTATTTTATTTATAAATATAGATGAAATTATTTTTTATTTTATATATGCAATATGGATGTCAAATCGAAGATCGTTAATATATGATTATTTTAGTATATCATACATAGAAAATAAAATAAAAATAAAAAATTTATACAATCTTAAAAATAAAAAGAATACATATTTATAATTATTAATATATGAATTAAATAAAAAAAGTAAGAGTAGTATATGGTAACTTAAGAAAAAAAAAACTAAAATAGTTTATGCTAATTCCCAAACCTAATAGTCAAAACCAAACTTGAATATGTATCAATAAGAAACACCAATTTATGCCAAATAAACTTACGAATCACACGAGTCTGCCACTTAAGTTCAGCGCATTCAAGAATTATATATAAGGACGATTTACATTATTCTATACTATTACTACAATAAGTATCTTCAAATTCATGAACATTTTAATTAGAGCAACTATTAGCCATTTTATTGGAGATAGCTCTCAAAATACCACCCATAGTTAGACATGGCCGTGGGACGGCCGGACCGGGAATCGGTCCCGGACCAGCCAGAACCGGCCCTTAACTGGCCACGTAAGGGCCGGTTCGTTGGACCGAACCGCAAGGGCCGCGGTTCGGTCCCGGTTGGCTCAATTTCTTTTTTTGTCCTGGCGGTCCGAGCCGGTCCGGGCCGGGTCGCGGGCTGAAACCGGGCGATGTGTGTCTTTTTATTTTTTATTTTATTTTTTTTTAATGTTCCTGGCTGGTCCGGGCCGGTTCGGTTACGGGCCAAGACGTTGAGGACCGTTGGCCCGGCGGGCCGGGCCAGGCCGGGCCCGGACCCGTTGACTGGCCATGTCTACCCATAGTAATTGAGGAAAAAATTATTCAAAATTATCTTATCAACTGCTCACAAAATTTGACTACTAAATTACTTCTAACAAGAAAGAATGATGGAATCCTGATAAGAGCACGGCTCGGCTGGCTCGATGATGCTCGAGCTCAACTCAAACGAGTTGAGCTCAATCTTAGGCTTATTTAATTAAGGAGACAAGACAAGCTTGACTCGACCTGATAATGTTTGAGCTCATTCCAAACAAGTCGAGCTCGAGCTCGTTCAGTTAACACCGCGAGGCGGGCCTGAATAATTGATTACACTGAAAAATAGAAATTTTTACGTAACATTTTGAAATTTTAACTTGGGGTTTGAGTTTGACTAATTAATATTGATAAACGAGGAGAGTTCGAGATCGAGTCAAATGTTCATGTTTTTGACTCGACTCCAAGGACAGATCTTCAAAAAATATTTGGGAGGGGCTAAAGTTGATATAAGAACCGAATTGTATATGTTTAACTCGTGAAAGTTTGATCGCATATCACTCATACATTTAAATGAACAAAACTGGAATGACTATTAATTTTTTTTATTAAACAAATTAAATAGATTCAAGCTTGCACAAGCCAAGTTTGAACTCACATATTTGTTTATTTTATTAAATAGTCGAGTCGATCCGGCTCATTTATTAAACTATCACAAGTTTAAACATGAGGTAATCAACTTGACTCTACACGATTAACATTTTGAGAGGGACTATATAATTTTAATATATATATATATATATATATATCTCACACACACATATAAATGTATATGTATATATTGGTATAAAATTGCATTTTAAAATGGATAAAAAAAATTAATTAGTTGCAGTACAAAAAACATAACTTCTTAATTTTGGTAGTGTAAATACTCAACATTCTTTACACCCACAAAACTCATTGATGATTGACTTGATATTAAAGTACTAACACAAATACTATAATTGGTAGGTTGCCAAATTGTTAGACAAATATATTTACTTACGAAAAATGCATACTTATATTATGAAATGTCATACTTTTATTGTATTTCATTATCAAGTATGACTTTAAAGTATGAAAGTATAAATATATTTGTTGAAGAATGTGGTTATCTAACTATTAACTATTAAGTAGGAGACTGCCTACCTCACCATTAATAGTTCTAGAATTTTTCTTTCGAACCATTGAATTGCATATCTTGCAGGTTCTTCTACTCTAAATTTACTCTTTATTTTTACATACCTTATACATTTAATTTATTCTATGTAAAATCAATAATAAAATATTAGAAAATAATGTTGAAAGAATACTTACAAAAATATGACGTAGTTAAAACTAATTAAGAAATAGAGCAATACAATAATTTGTAATAATTATGAGAATGTGTATAAACAAATATGAATATATTTAATGTTAATCTATATAAGTGTGTGTATATATATATATATATATATAAATATGTTTCAAACAAAATTAAAAGTTTGGGGGATAATGCCCCCTGGGTAGATTTAGTAAAAGTTTTAAATGGAATTATTTCTTGATGCATATAGCAAATACATGTATAAAGGAACAAAATATATATTGTTGTATATAAGTAATTGTTTAATTAATTGCTGCCAGACCCCAACTGGCCTAACTCCATAGCCAAAAGCTGCCCATTTTTATTCCTAAGGAACATGAAAGAATATTGATGTGCACTTGACCAAATTATATTAAAAATGACATCTGTTTATATACCTAATTACAAGTTATATAAAAAGAAAAAAAGAAAAGGAATAAAGTACAAGTAATTATAGGACAACCTTATTAGAAAAAAGAAACGTTATAAGTACGATTTTATATTATACTGCAGCACACGCGTGCCTTACATAAAAAAAATACAAGTTTGGGAATAGAATGGTCTAATTAATTAACTAAAAGTTGTGTTTGGAATATTTCTACTTAACGTCATTTACTTTATATTAAATTATTAGTCTAGAAGGGAACAAGTCATGAATGACATTAAAAATTTGAAATGAAAATGATGATATACCAATTTGGAGAAAAAAAAAATAGTATTTGAAAGAAAAACCTAATAAAATAATTAGGATATATATACGTATATAGCTAGGATACTCAATAATACTTAAATCGTATACGACACGTCAAAATTGTGTAATATCAAATTGAGACAACTATCAAATTGGGTCGAGTGACATTCACCCAATTATAATTAAAAACATGGTATTTATTGTTTGAAAAATTAAATTAATGAAATTATGGAATAGAGTTTGCATACATTAATTTTTAACTTCAAAGTTATAATATCATCGACCCGAGTTATACGTACAAAAAATCATTTCTTACAATTTTTTTTTTTAATAAAACAAATATATGATCCGACTTATCGGACTCAAGACAGTGGTTTCAACTTTCAAGAGACTCACAAAACCGTTAGAAAGTCACATGAATTGCATGAATAATTCTGATGCTCAAATTCAAGGACTGAAAAGCCAATTAAATTGGTCTTACACCAAACTATAATGCCGTCCAATTAAAGTTATTGGATATATTTTGTAATATTAGCAGATAATACTTACTAATAATGACATTATTAATAATAATTTGATTCTAATTTGCACTGTCATTACATAGTAAAAATTAAATAAATTTTAACGAACGTTTAGTTAATTTAGATGACATGTTATTTTACTTTTTAATTTGTTAAACCCAAAATAAGAAATTTCTAGATCAAGATTAATAACTCAAAAAAGGTAAAGGTAATTTGATGTATACATAGTTGAAATTTGCATTTAATTTTGAAAAAGGGAAGAAAAAGTACAGGGGCATTTATGAAACACCTCAAGAGTTTTTTGAGGGGTCAAACCAAACTACTCAACAGCTAGACCTGATGCCATTAAAGGGACCATAATAATAAACCATCTACCAAACTTGCACTAGAATTTAATAAAGAATCTTATATTAGGTATTAATTACTACTACTTTTTGTTGCCCTTATTTTCTTTGTCAAATTTGTGTGAATAATTCGAACCGACATCGTATTTTCGTGTTATCTATATTATTTGATCATAAATATAAATATAATACTATATATTTTTTCTATTTTGTATTTTTTTACCTTGTGTTTCGACTTTCGAGTCATACCGTGTTGAGTGTATTTTCTAGCATNTGTGGCATTTATTTGTTTCATATTGTGAAATACTAAAATGTGACCTGCTCATGTGTGTTACATAATTACATATTTTGTTTTAGTTGTGTTCCATTCTAATTTTTGTTTCATTAGTTTCACATAATTCATTTGAATTTTCAGAAGGTCCGAATTTTGAACCGGATTCCAGGAAAATATAAAATTAAATCTTACATTTAAAAATGGATATGTGATGAAAAATGGATGTGTACAAGAAAATAGGTACCAAGAATCCACATAATTCTTTTTAAAATTTAAAAGATTTTGTAGTTAGACAAATGTGTACAAGAAAACCATCAATCAAGTTGAACACGAAATATGAAATCAATTTTCAAAATTTTATTAATAAATACAAATTTTAGTTGTGACCATAAATATGGATTTGTAATATATAAATATAAATAAACAAATATTTAACAATCAATCTGGCATGACTTTTCAAGAAGATTTTAAAAAATTTCAAACATTTTATTCGTTAAATGATTGACCGGATTTTTGTAACTAAATTTACACGTTTGACTGCAAAAAATTCTAAGGAAATGATTGATCGGATTTTTTGGAAACAAGATTTTCAAGATTTTTTCTCATTATTGACCAGATTTACTCGTAGCATTTAAAAAAATCATTGACCATATTTTTAGGAATTAAATTTTACACAATATTTTTCTCGAATAACAATTTCTGTTAGTTTAAATTTGAATTCAAATTTTCATTAGCACTATTTTTTCAAGAAAATAATAATAATAAAAATAATAACTTTAAAATAAATTTTTTAAACAAAAATTTTAATATTATTTTAAATAAATCCTCTCTCTTAGATAATAACAATTAATAAGCATCCACTTGTATATTTTTTGGATATTTTTATTTATGTTGTCAACATAGATGTACACTAAGTTGGCAATATATAATTTTCACTGAAAAAACTCTTTTGCCCACGATCTTAAAGCCCCCTCAACCCCACTCCCCGAAGCCTTTTTCCTTTTAGTCGCCATCTTCATACGAAAGTAACAACATCGTTTCCCCCTTTTTCTTCTTCCTCTGTAAAACTGTGTATCCAGCTAATAGATACACGAGCATATACGTCTCTACGTCTCATCGTAAATCGGAAACACGACAAAGAGTATACGCACGCCTCGACTTCGTTCCATGGCCGTGTAAGGACTGGCAATTCGAGCGCCGCCGATCAAGGTATGGGCCTGTGTTTCTCGCGCGGCGATGCGCCGCCACCGAAGAGGAGGCAGTCCAAGCGAATCACGAACCACTCGGCGGACGGCAGCTTGGGGAGCAGCCGGTGGGCGAGAATTCGGTCGTCGAGGAAGGAGGAGAACCTGATCCACGAGCGGGCCCTGGCGGCGGCGATTCTCTTTCAGCAGCAGATGCAGGGCGGCGGAGGGGTGACGGCGCCGTTTGATAGGTCGACCTCGTTGAGGTATCCTAACGGGAACTCGAGGAGGAGCCACGGGTTGCCTCGGAGCTCGAGCACTAGGGCGCGGTCGCTTACTGATCCTCTGCTTCAGCCTCACCAGCTTGTTAGTCAGGTATTATATAGGGAAATTTCACCAGTTCAGGGCGTTTTTGGTTCATATTCGTTGTGTTTTAGTGGGTTTGGATAGTTTATTTTGTTAATATTTTTTGAAATTGTGATTAGTTTGCTGGTAATTGTGAGTTGAAGGATTGAAGCTGAGTTCAGATTTTAATTTTGAGAAGATTTCGAAGTTAGTTTTGTTGTGATTGCTCTTTTTCACGATGATCGAGTTTGTCTGTAAAGTTGAAAGTTGGCTCTTCATTAAAGTCTGTGGTGCTTTGGTATGTGAAAAAATGTCAGGTCGGTTGAAGGCTGGAGAATACGGGTGGTTGGAGTAGTGGTGGGAGTTTGGTGGAAGCTTTGTTTTGCTTTGTTTATGGATATTGGAATATATTATGTTAAAAAATAAAAGATCATTTGATTATTAGTTGACTGGGTGAATGATAATAATTATAAACCTGCATTGAGTTCTTATTCTTAATATTAAAATTTAGGTAATCAACTGAACTGAAGCTTTGAACTGGCAATGGTAATTTTGCATTCTGTAATTCACCATGGTTTTCGGAAGTCTTCAAAAAGGTTGCTCACTTCTATTTGTTAGTAATGCTTTTGTTTTTGGGTATATCATTCCACTCTGTGATTTTTTTGTCGATTTGTTCTGTTTGGTGTTTGTTTGAGTAATCTTTCATTTTCTTGGTCCTGCTGCTGATTAAAAAGGACGGTTGAGAGGTTGTTTGCTCTTTTCTGTGAATGTAATTAAAATTTATCCTGTTTATTTAACAAACTTATCATTCTGGACCTGTATTTTTATTTTTTATTTTTGGAAACTTCTGGGTTATCATTTATTTGTTTTTCTGATTAGCAGGATTCTACCAAACTTGAGAATCTAGAGACCAACCATTTTGTACTTGTTCATGGTGGTGGATTTGGTGCCTGGTGCTGGTATAAAACTATTGCATTGTTGGAAGAAGTTGGATACAAAGTTACAGCTGTGGATTTGACTGGTTCAGGAATTCATTCTTGTGACTCAAACAGTATTGCAAGTCTTTCGCAGTATGCGAAGCCACTGACTGATTTTATGGAAGGCCTTACCAACGAGAAGGTTCTATTTCCAGATATTTCACTTTATAACATTTTTTATTTTCTTCACATTGTTCTTTTTCGGTGTTATGCATTTATATATATGTGTGCATGTGTCAGACAAATTTGGTATTATACTTATACATGTTAATTTTGATGTCCTTTATGTAAATCCTTAAATTCTGTAATATCTTATCTTCAAATATTATTGTGGTGGATTGCTGTTGCATTTCACTCACTCAATAAATTTTCATCCTGAAAGGCATTCATCATTTTAATTTTCCCCTTTACGGTTAATTCATTTACTTGCACCTTTACATTTAATTCATTACTTGTGAATTCTTGGTCTGTAGTATATAAGAACTATAAGTTATTACTCAATTAGGAGCAAAACATAAGTCTTTATCCTCACTTTTCATCTTGTACATGCAGGTAATTTTAGTGGGGCATGATTTTGGTGGAGCGTGTATATCGTATGCTATGGAGATGTTTCCTTCTAAGGTTTCAAAAGCTGTTTTTCTTGCTGCGGCTATGTTGACGAGTGGACAAAGTACTCTTGACATGTTCTCGGAAAAGGTTAGTATTTCTAACCAAAACTTTTAATACCCAACGGAATTTTTATTCAAATAGTAGTAAATTTATTTAGCAAGATAACCGTTTATGTTCTGCAAGTAGCGTTATACTGATGATAATAGAGACGATCAGTGCTCCTTCATATAAGCCTTATAATCATATTTTATGCTTGTTGATCTCTTTGCCAACACATCCTATGTTTTGAAATTTGAATTATGATGTAAAAGTTTTTTACTATGTTTAGTTACTCTAAGTCAGTTATTACTTCAAGAAATTAAGGAAGCATTTTCACCTTTTTATCTATTTTGTTGTAATGCTATTTTGATCCATTCAGGTTAACCCTTATGCTGCCACCTAAGCACGAAATCTGAACATGCAATCTTATATGTTTTGATTGGTTCATCGACAATCCAATAATTTTTCAAATTGTTAGGTTATCCTATAACTTAATATAACTTCTCATATGTCCAATATTTCAGGTGGAATCAAATGATCTGATGCAACGCTCACAGATTTTTCTTTACGCCAATGGGAACAATCAGTCACCAACTGCTATTGATTACGACAAATCTCTCTTGAGGGATCTGCTATTCAACCAAAGCCCGGCCAAGGTGTGGTTTTGTACAAACAGCTTGAATAAAAATGGCCTTTACTAATATATACAAAGCAGCGAATGAATCACAATTTATCTACAATTTTCATTTTTCTTAATTGACACGAATATAATTTTTTCAGTTGATTCGAATTCTTAAATTCAAATTCCTTTCCCCAGGACATTGCATTAGCATCTGTCTCGATGAGGCCAATCCCATTTTCTCCTGTTTTAGAGAAGCTTTCTTTATCCGAAACGAAACATGGGTCCGTGAGAAGGTTTTATATAGAGACACTAGAAGACAATGCTATACCGCTTGCTGTACAGGAAGGCATGGTCAACAAAAGTCCACCTGAGCAGGTATTCCATCTCAAAGGCGCCGATCATGCACCGTTTTTTTCGAAGCCTCAAGCCCTGCATAGAATTTTGGTGGAAATATCAAGAATCCCTTGAATCTTCTTTAAGTGGAAACATTTTGTGAACTCATTTATTCGCAAAAAGGTGGGAACATTTTGTGAACTCACTTCTATAAGTAGATGTTTTTCAGCATCTTGAGATTAACTTGCTTCAGAGTACTTGTTCAAGTTGGCATAGATAAGGTTATCACTTTTTTTTTTTTTTCCTTTTTTTTTTTTTTTTTTTTTTTCTTTCTTTCTTTCTTCCTTTCTATCAGGCTGTACGTTGATAGGTGTGGCTAATCAGGTTTATCTGGAAAACGGCATCAAGTATACGAGATGTATGTTTACGTAAATTATACTTTTCTATCAGCTTCTTCAAGTAATTGAGTTTTTATATATGTTTATTAATATTTTAGTGTTTTAACTTGAGTGACTACATAAATAGAACTTAGATATAAGTTACAATGCATCGTTTCTTGCGTTTATGACTTGAATAAGTTAGTAGATGTTTTATCATATAAAATTAAATGAAGTAGATAGTCATAATCATATTTCTCGAAAACGTTCGGTTAAACCAAAACAGAAAAACCAAATTGAGAAACAAAATTTCCAGATTCTATATATTGTTGGCTTTTGCTAGTCTGCAGTAATTGATTTTGTGTTATCACTTACATAAGGTAATCCATCTAACCAATAACTCGAGAGATCAAAATTGTTGCCATCGGTGGTAGGTCGAATCTTAATATATATATGATTATAATTTAGTAAAATATTTAATAAAATCTATTTTCATTTTCCTCCAAAAGAAGTTATATTTTTTTTAATTAATTACTCATTAATTTGTTAAAACCGTTACACCTTAATATATAGATTTTTATTATTTATTTTTTGGATCAGTTACTAAATTAATTCTAAATTTGTTAACAAAATATTCAAATGTGTAACGCTAATGTTGGAACTTAAAGTTGATTGGCACATTTAGAGCTGTAACCGTTATATTTGGTTGCATTGTCGGAAGAAAAATATTATTGGCACATATTTTTTTTTCTAAAAATCAGAAACACCAATAATTTTTTTTATTTATGTTACTTTTTTTAATATATGCCACAAATATATTATTTTATTCATGTTACTAATGTAAACATTGAATGGTTAAAATAAAAATTAAATCTCAATTAATTTGAATGATAAAAATAACATAAGAAAAAGTACTAATTTTTATATGATAGAAATACATGTCTAATTAATAAATACAGACAAAAACGTATTTATATCTATGGAAATACACATGATCATATACTAGTTAGCTGATAATGGTTGAATTTAGTTAAAATATGAAGATAAAAATGAACTTCATAGGGCCCATATATTCAATTATTTTTCCCACTTGACGCGTTTCTTATTTATTAGAGGAAACACCATGGCAACATCTACGAAAAAACAACGTCCACATCATATTCAAAAGTTCCATTCCCTACTTCCCTGTGAAAATCAACTAAAATAAAGTCAACACAAAAGAATACAGATAGTTCATTCATTCACAAGCAAAGCAAACACCATTCCTCCTCAGCTCCCAAACCCAACACAAAACAGATTTATGAACATTCACTCATTCTCAATCCCATCTATAATTTTCTCTCTCCTCATAACATCCACTTACAGCAGTCATAATGATTATGTAGACCTTTTCACAGGCGACGTATCAATTAACTGCGGCTCGACCGGCATTTTCCCGGCGCCCAACGGCCGGGAATGGGTTGGGGACATCACAAACCCGAAATCTGCTTCGATTATGCAAATAAAAGGCCACTCGACAACCTCAGCGGCTAACGGCAAGTTATTATCCAGCAACCGAGTCCCCTACGGATCGTCAAGAATTTCCCGTTCGAAATTCGTGTACGCATTCCGAGTGGGCCCGGGCCCGAAAATCCTCCGCCTTCACTTCAACCCGGCCCAATACAATGGCTTCAAAGGACTTGAGGACTTGTTCACGGTCCAAGCCAGCCCATTTACCTTGCTCGGCAACTTCAGTGCTTCGCTCACCGCATGTGCCCTCGGAGTGAAACCTTTCACGAAAGAGTTCTGTTTGTTCATACATAAAAACGAGCAGTTTAACGTAAGTTTTACTCCAGAACCGGGTTCATATGCATTTGTGAACGGCATCGAGATTATATCCGTGCCGGAAAGCATATCCTATTTTCACAATGGAGACATCGGAGTTCAAGCGGTCGGCCGAAACTCCCCTGTCCACGTAGACCGCCACACGGCACTTGAGTTAGTCCACCGGCTAAATATTATCAAAGAAAGTTCCGTGCTGGCCGGTGGAGATCTTGACGACACGTTTCTGACGTGGGATTTGCGAAGAGCCGAAGAGGTGAAAAAGCGAACGTGGGAAGTACCGGTGGATGTGGGATTCAGGTACATGATCAGACTTCATATCTCACAAATGGGACTCAAGATTATTCCAAGGACAAGTGATTATAAACTCCTCATCAACGAAGCAATTGCTCTCACGAATATCGACTTAGCAAACGAACCTAGAAACGACAGGAGAAGGTATTATTACAAGGACTACCTAGTGACAATGAGGGGGCAGAAAGAAGAAGGAAAACGTCGACTCTCGATTTCTCTGCATTCCCTAGACGGGCTTCAACTTCTATCCGGGTTTGAAATATTCAAACTTACCAACCCGGACAATAGTCTCGCAAGCCCGAATCCCTTTCCTCCACCATCTCAAAACCCATCGTCCAAAACCACCCGCATTTTTGCCTCGACCTTCCGCAACACCAACGCATTTTCGTTCGCGGCCTTACTCGTAATTTCCCTAGCAAACATCATCGCATACAAACTGCGCGAGAATTCGGAAGCTTATAACTTAGCTCGGGAGCCTAACAACAACAACAACAAGCCTTCCGCCAGAGCCGAACGTCTCTGCCGCCGTTTTTCGCTCGTCGAGATGCAATTCGCCACGCGGGACTTCAACGGCGGGCTTCTAATCGGGAGGGGCGGATTTGGAAAAGTCTACAAGGGCAACATCATCGTCGATAGAGGAGGACGAAAGTCGGTTGCCATCAAGAGGCTAAAACCTAACTCGAGCCAGGGGGCCCACGAGTTCCTGATGGAAATCGAGACGCTGTCCGAGCTTCGTCACGCGAATCTAGTTTCTCTCATCGGCTACTGCAACGAACACAGGGAGATGATTCTCGTGTACGACTATATGCCAGGTGGCACGCTGGCCGACCGTCTTTACAGGCTTCGGAGGACGAGCGGCAGCTGTCCACCGCTGAGCTGGAAGCAACGTCTCGACATCTGCATCGGGGCAGGACGCGGGCTCGACTACCTCCACACGGGCCACGGAATCATACACAGAGACGTGAAGAGTACAAACATCCTGCTCGACGAGAACTTGGTGGCTAAGGTCTCGGATTTCGGCCTGGCCAAACAGGAAGACAGGAGCAAGCTGCAGAGCCACGTCAGCACGCGGGTCAAGGGCACAAACGGGTACATGGACCCGCATTACCTCCACACCCGCAAGCTGACGAGGAAAACCGACACGTACGCTTTCGGCGTGGTGCTTTTCGAAATGCTGACCGGGCGGCCTGCGGTGGATCTAAGCCTTGTGGAGGAAGAAGAACACATTTTGACGATATGGGCACGTGACAGAATAAACAAGGGAGAAGTCGAGCAGATAGTGGATTCGAGTCTAAAGGAGGAGATTTTGCCGGCAAGTCTGAAGACGTTCGTGGGGATTTCCGAGAGGTGCTTGCGAGAGGACCCAAAGAGTCGGCCCACGATGGCTCAGGTCGTGCAGCAGCTTGAGCTAGCGCTCGAGCAGCAAGACAGTGAGGTAACGAGTGCTTCACATGAAGAAAGGAACTCGATTAGTGATGGGCAATCACCAATGGCTGATCGACACGTGGAGGATTTGGAACCTTCACGTGAAGAACAAACGAGAAGACGAGCAGTTACTACTACTGAGGTTCCACCTGCAAGAAGAGATGAGAGGAAACGAAAGCCGTTACGACTTTGGCCGTGGGATGCGTTTTGGAACAAAGTTAAACAGCCCAAGAAAACCAGTTTGTTATCGGGTATGGACAAAATAAAAGTCGATGAATTTATGAGAAATAATAACATATTTCCAATGATATATTTATGAGAAAATGCAGAGGTCGGGGATGAAGCGAACATAAGAGCGACCAAATACGACTGGGACATGATTGCAGCTGCCACCAATCAGTTCTCTAGTGATCGTAAAATCGGACAAGGTGGATTTGGCTCTGTGTATAAGGTGACTTTTCCTTTGTGTGTACAAATGTACAATGCATTATGTTAATAAATTTGTAACTGAAATGAGAAAACTATCATCCTGTAAAGGGAGTGTTGCCCACAGGAGAGTTAGTTGCAGTCAAAAGGCTTAAAAATGATTCTACACAAGGCCACGTTGAATTCATGAACGAGATTCATTACCTTCCCGATCTTCAGCATAGAAACATCATCAAGCTACTCGGCTATTGCATTCATCGAGAAGAAAAGCTGCTTGTTTATGAGTTCATGGAGAATGGAAGCGTGGATACTTACATAGGAGGTCAGAGAATTTCTGAATCTTTCTACTTATTTCATAATGCAACATTTTTTATTTGACTCAAACTTCTTCTAACTCAGATGAAGTCCAATGTGATGTTCTCCCATGGGAAGTACGATTCAAAATCATAAAAGGGATTGCTCGAGGACTTGTATATCTCCATCAAGATTCGGGACTCAGGGTCATTCATAAGGACCCGAAGTTAAACAACATCTTACTAGACTCTGAGATGAATCCGAAAATTTCAGACTTTGGACTGGCCAGGACCTTAGCAGAAAGTGATTCTCAATCAGAGACCACCCAGTTAGCCGGGACCTAGTAAGTATCAGGTTCAGACACACAATTCTTTTTCTTTTTTTTTTAATGGTTTGTATGTACTCTTATGTTTTTACAATCATCTCTATGTGCAGTGGGTATATTGCTCCAGAACTCTTCGTGAACTCAAAATATTCAATTAAAACCGACTTGTACTGCTTTGGGATCGTGATTTTGGAAATCGTAAGTAGCAAGCGAGTGGCTAATTGGTGGAGAATGAACTCAACATTTTTGGGCAAAACCATGGACTTTCGTGGCTATGTAAGTTGTGTTCTTGTGTTAAGTCATATAATCACATTCTAAGCAACTATCTATAGGAAACAAGCTATTTTTCAC